ATTTATAAATATTATAAATTTATATTAAATGTTGCTAGTTGACATGAATTTATATGCCTGAACATTTGTTTAGTGTTTATCAAGAAAAAGTCACTTTTCAAATCTTAATAATCAAACGTGCTGCAGATCTGGTCAAGTCTTTAATGAGTAATTGAAAGCAAAGACTCCTTGTTAAGTGGAAGTAACTGCTAGCAAATACATTTTAGTAAGCTTACAGTGTTTTAACTTTTTTTAGGCTAAAAATGAATGCTGTAAATAGAACAGTCTAATAATCACTGCCTTTTAACATTCTTAAACCTTAAGAAAAGTCTTTTAAAATGTCATCGTCAGTTTTACTGACATTTATGGGCTCTGTTATCTTGTAAATACATTTTACTTCATTATGTTCAATCTAAAGTAGAGTATTTCCTTACAAACAAAACTGCATGTTCTACTAACTCATATGTATTTGAACCAAGATGAAAGATTTTAAATAGCATTTGTATTCAAAATATATTATCTTTACTTGTTCTATTTGTTATTAAAACCCTTTGCCTGCTGCTTTGTCACTTTGCATAGTTAAGTGGAAATTAATACACATATTAAGTCATTATTGTTTTTTTTTTCCTCCTTCCCCAAAAGCACAAATAGCAGATGCTGCTAATTTTCAGAGAAAATATGATACATATTGGCAATTTATTATTCTAAACTTCTATTCTTCCCTCTTGTATCGGGGGACAGAGGTAGTGGGTATTGAGCTTGCACGCAAACAGGCTGTGGATGCCCTACCGTGAATGTTTCTTTGGGAATGTGAAAGTATTTCTGTGATATAAGCGCTTTGTTCTCATTTTTCTGGTCTCTGCTCTCAGTCATCCAGCAAGCAGACATGAGGTTGTTTGATACAACTTCTTCTTCTTCTTGGTTAATTAGTTTCCCTGGGACAGTATCAGCTGGCAGCTACTTTAGCAGAGAAGTACTGTGACTTTGATATCCTGGTGCAAATGTGTGAGCAGACGGACAACCAGGCCAGATTGCAACGTTACATGAGTCAGTTTGCAGATCAGGTAACTCTTTTTTTCTAATTCCTTTAGTTGGCATTTTATAATACGTTTGCACCTGAAATGTTGCAGAAGTTATGATTTGCAAGGGGAGTGTCTTTTTTAAATGCATATATATTTACATATATATACAGGAGTAATGTGGGAAATTGAAGTCAAGAACTTGATGGTATATTTTACCCTGAGACTGCAAAATAAGTCAGCAAAAATACAGGTGCTAGCTGTATGGGCAGTGGCTTTTCACGGGTCCTTTTCTCTGCCTCAAACATCTTGTCTCACTCTTAACATCTTTCAGCATTTTACGACTTGTTCACTGAAGTTCTGTAGTCAGTGTACTGTTGTTTTATTAAACTAATGTAATATAAATTTAAGGATAATTTCAAAAAGATAATATGAGATTGTTAAATGTACAGTTAAGAAGAGTAGGAAGATAGCAATGTAGCTGTGGTCTTTTTTTATTGTCCTGCCAGCTACTACTTGGACAGTTTTTCAGTGTCTGTCAAAATCTGATATAAAAACTTCGTAAGTGTGCTGAAAAATTGGAAAGCTTAAGGAAAAGGCAGTAGAAACTGCTTGAGGTGAAAGGGACTGGGACAAAAGTTTCCTAATTTGAGAGCTGGTGAGATCAATTTGTTTAGCTTTCCACAACAACTATGGAAAGAGAAACCCTGCAGTCTACAGCTTTCCTAATAAAGAGAGTACAGAACAGTTGCTTGATAAGAACAAGCAAAAGTATTAATAACAGACAGAAATTACAGTAAATGGTTTTAATAGGGAGGGTTAAGTACTCACACATACTGCCAAAGAAGGGCATAAATTCTCATATTTGTTCTCTTCAGATACTTTTTTTTTTTTAAAGGAAAAAAGTAACACTTTGTGAAAAAAAGTTACTTTAATGAATGTAGACCTGAATAGATTGAGTCTAATGAATAGAATATCAGACTAGTGGCCTTTGAGTTTTTTAATGCAATTAAAATTTATCATTATTCTAAAATTACTCTGAAAAGACTAAGTTAAATGTCAAACATAAACCCTGATTAGTTATGTCACACTGAAGTTCTTGAGGATAAAAAAGGTGGGTTTTTTTAAAAGACATTAGTTTTTAACCATGACTGAGAGAAGTAAGATTGTAGGTTCAGTTGGACATAGGAGCAATTGTTTCAAAAACAAGTGACAGCAGAACCAAACTTATGTATGAAAGGAAGTAGTAAGCACAGAGTTCTGAGAGGGGGAAAGGAACAGGTAAAAAAATGAGACTAGAATTGTGGGTGATGCGATAACCTGTTTAGATTTTTGTGGGTTAACATGAAGAATTTATATTGGTCACTTCCTTCAGTTCCGTTGAAGGCTAAACCCTGCTGTGGGTATCGCTATCTCTTGCACTGTAGCTCATTAATTCCTCAAACACTATTTTCATCAGAACTCTTCAGTTTTTTCATCACAGTATGCTATTTTTCTGTGTATGTGTCTTGTTTTGTTAAGCAGATTGTTGCCATATCCTTACCAATTGTATTTTATGAAGGATTTTGCCTTAGAAGTTAAACAAGATACTTAAACGTAACTTTTAAAATCTACTCATGTTCCTGTTATTTTCAGAACTTTTCAGATTTCCTGTTTCGCTGGTATTTAGAAAAAGGAAAGCGAGGAAAGCTGTTATCTCAGCCTATTGCTCAGCACGGACAGCTGGCCAGTTTCTTGCAAGCTCATGAGCATCTGAGCTGGTTACATGAAATCAATAGTCAGGATTTGCAAAAGGTAAGGTTTCTTAATACAACCAAACTGAAATATCGTGTTAAATGAATCAAGCACATATTCAAATAAGCAAATTATCTAATTCTGACTCTTCATCATCAAAAGCAGACAGGCTATCTAGGTGATTTAAGGAAGGGATGACATGGATTATTACTGGAGTACCCAAAGCCTCCCTCCAGGCACCATCTGGTATATCATGTAGGCCACTGCACCATGTAATGGAAATTAGGTCTCCTTTTCATCCCTTGTTGGTGACTAATATTTTGTATCAAGGAAGTCTTATGTGGCCACATGATCACCGCTTTGGTGGAATTGGGAGTTTACAGTGAATATTAATAGAATTATCAGGTTATCCAGCAAGGGAAAAACTGAAATTTATATTTTAAAAGTAACTATTTAAAGCAAAGGAATTTGGAGATACCACAAAAATAAAAAATGTATTGATTACTTTAATAGCTTATATTCTTAGTATAAAAGCTTTTTTTTTTTTAATAGCTAATGTGCATGTGGATAGGTTAATGTGACATTGTTTTAAACACGATTCTTTGTCGCCTTGTAGGCTGCGCAGTTATTCTTGCTCTACTTCCTGTTGGTCAGTCTTCCCTTCCTTCTGCTAGATTTATTAATGTATTTCATTTTAACAAATAAACTCATTCTAAAGAAAAATGGCTTTTCAATCCATGTGCATTCTTATTAAGCACACAGAGCATGGAAGTGTTTGCTTCCATGCAAATTATAGGTTAATGCTTTATGCCCCTTTTAAAAAAACCACACCTACCCCTTTAAAAATAAAAAGCAAGAAACCCAACCAGCAGCAACAATGAAAAAAAACCTAAAACCCACTCTGAAAGTCTTGTAATATTCCATTTGTGTCGACTGAGTTTTTTTGTATTCTACAGGAAAGCACTAAAGAGAGGACAAGGATTCTAAAATATACAAGTAATTCAGTTGGATAGTTTATTTCTGAGTTAGGTGCTCAGAAATTTTCTGTTCCTTTGTGTGACAGACTAATAAATTCTTGCCTAAATGTTTGTTTACTGCAGTGGTTATATGTATAATTCTGTTTTTCAAATTCCTGAATCAACAAGTATATCAATCTGTATGTGAAGTTGCCCTGTCAGGGCATATTTGCCTGGCTTTTATGGCAAAGCCTTGAATAAGATCCCAGAGGTAAAATACATGAAGTTCAATTTATCCTTTTATCATAAGATAGATTTTCTTGCTTAATAATGAAAATGGCTTTTGGATATGATTTGAGTAGAGATCTGTATCTGTTCCTGAGGAGTACAATGCAGAGTTTTAATGTGCAAGTTGTACAACTTTTAAAAATGTGGGTTATAGGATTACAAACAATAAATAGCTGTGAGACTGCAGTTCAGGATTAAATCCTTGTCTGTTAACTTTCTGATGTTAAATTCTAAAACCAATTGCTAACATCTTTTATTAATTTCAGGCTCACAGAACATTGCAGACTCTAGCAAATATGGAAACACGGTATTTTGCAAAGAAAAAAACACTTCTTGGCTTGAGCAAATTAGCTGCACTGGCATCTGACTTCTCAGAAGATATCCTGCAAGAGAAAATAGAAGGTGAGAAATAAAAACAGTCAAGTGAAGAATAGGCTAATAAGTTATTGAATTAGAATCATGTTAATTTTGCAGATAGTTAATTTATTGGGCTGAGGGCTCTAACTTAATGTGGTAAGGATAAACAGGCTGATGATTTTGCTCATTGCAGGAAGGATAAGGAAGACAGCATAAGGCAGTAACCTTAGTATTCACCTTCACTTGTGAGTTAGGACTATGATGAGCAAGGGGAATTTGTACCTTTTCACTTTTTCTAATAACACACAAAATATTGGCATAAATGACAAGCTGCACAGTCTTTTTGAGGAGTCATTAGGTGGTTCTGAAGTAGATGAAGCTGCATTTTATATTTCAGATGCAAGGTAAAAAAAGGTAAAAGTGATTTAATTTCCTAAAGCCTTTTTGTTGAGTGGCTCTCCATTTTGAATTGTTCTCAAGTCCTGAGACTCTTAGGCTGTACAGGGAAATCTGTAACTCTGTTGTATTGTAATAATGTACCTGCAAATACATACATTGGTGATCAAGAAGTGCTTTCTCAGCATCTCACTCTCTCTGTATCTAGAAAGGTTATAGAGCCTGTGTCATTATGCTCTAGCTGAAAGGATGTTAATGGGAAAAGTAGGGATACCTATTCTGCTTCATTATCTCACTCTCTCTGTATCTAGAAAGGTTATAGTGACTGTGTCATTATGCTCTAGCTGAAAGGATGCTAATGAGAAAAGTAGGAATACCTATTCTGCTTCATTGCCAAATGCAACAGTTCCACTGCTCTGCCAGTCCTATCACTTTGGAAAATACCCTTTCCCTGATGCTGTTTGTGCAATACATGTTGCTGTGAGTTTGTGAAAAAGCAGTTCTACACTAATAGTTAAACTAATACTGGCCACCAGGGGAAAGCTTTGAAATATTACTCAAGGTTACTGCTCAAGCTTACTTCTGTGTATCTACATATTTATCCATGTATGTTTTGTACAACCCTTAAAAGAAATCCTGTTGAATAAGGCTGGGGATAATAATGATAACTAAGGAGGCTTCACAAATTATTTTTAGCTTCTAATACTAATAATATATTGCCTGCTCTTTCAATCATAAAGCATTCCATGAAATCTTGAAGTTGAAACTTGTTTTTCTCACTGCTGTGAGAAAAACCCATGCTAATGTGAAGAATCTCATCTTTAAATAGGAAGACTTTAGAAAAACAAGGAAATCAAAGCTTTATTTCAGTAGAGTAATGGACTTTTAAAACTTGGTCTGGACTTTACTCCACTACATGTTTCTGTATGATGCATGACATAACTTTTAAAACTTACACTCTTTGTGTACCAGTTTTCTGTTGATAAAGAATAATCGTTTCTTCTGCATTCTGCTTATCCATTTAAACAGATAAAATGCTCCTTTCTACCATGCAGTGGAACTTGGGGAGGGGGTGGGGAGGGCAGGGTTGACGTACTGTGGCTGAAATTATTCCATTTGGATTGTTTTGGCCTAATAAGTTTATAACCCTGAAGCAGATTATAGTGGAAAATAAAACAATCAAAAATGGAATAATTAATGAGATGGAGCAGGTCCATGGCACAAGTCTTCCACCAAAAGGTAGATCCTAAAAATTGCAACCACCTTACTTCCCTGCATAGTGCAACAACTTCCCTCCAGTCCTGTGTATTCATTTTGTGGTTTTGAGGAAAAAAAAAAAAAGGAGTTATCAGTCTGCATTACACTGGGAACCTGAGTGGAAAGTAAGAATTAGTTCACCAGGATGACAGTATTGAAGTGGAAGTATTTCTGTGCAGCAGGAGCAGGGATAAGTGTCCAAATAGAATGCTTCATAACAAACACTTACAGACCTGAATAATATTGTGACTTGGCAGTTGTAATTGTTCCATAGAATTTATTATTACATTTTAATAACTTGACACATTCATTTCCTTAAATGACTACAAGAAATATCAGAACAAGAACGCTTTCTGTTACATCAGGAGACACTTCCTGAACAATTACTGGCAGAGAAACAGTTGAACCTCAATGATATGCCAGTGTTGTCTGCATCTCAGCTCATTGATGTAAGTATCTCATGTTTTCTTTATTACACTGGTAAAGTTCCAGTATGTTTTCTGTCTCTGTGTGATAAAATAAATTAGAAGATCACAGCTGTCTTGATCCCTTACATGACTTTCTAAGCACCTAAAAGATCTGATATATATATATGTTTATCTTTGCTTAGTTTCTACCAGCACCAGACTTCAGAATGCTGGTTTTAGTTCAAATTTCTTTCTGTTGAAGGTGTGCTTTAGACTGCTGCTAGGAGAAAAAGTAAATCAAATCAGTTTCAGAAGTTGATTTACTGCTCTAAGCCAGTTTTTGGATAAGAGACGATTTTTAACCTTCTCAGTAGGGCAGAACTGGGAAGGTAGAAGGCACAAAGAATTCTACCTTAGTGGTGACAGATGCTGCAATCTAGAAAAAAAAGGGCTAGAAGCAGGAACAGGCTTTTGGTCACCTGTTGCAAAGAGGCACCCAAAATCTTCCTACTTTTTTTCTTTCTTCTTTTTCAAAAACAAACCAAAAAAACCACCCCCAACCCATACTGAGACAAAACCATGAACTGCTGCAGTACTGGGATCACTACTAGCGCTGACCCCCTTCCCACACCCCTTTCTGGTGGTAGCCAGCAACTAGTAGCCGTCTTGTTTCTGCCTTGTTGGCAGCGTATTTTTACCATCCAGTGACGCGCACAAAAAATACTCAATAAGCAACAACAATACATCGTAAAACAAATCAGGTCCTGTCTAGGTGTCGGTTTTGCAACTCCTTATTTTCCTGTAATCTTGTGGAAAATCTGAGGCTAACAGTCTGCTTGTTTACATTCTCCTCATTTTCTTAGAACAATGCTAATAAGAGATTCTGAAGTGATTTACCTGTATCTTCAAGTGCGACTGTCTGTGGGATTAGGGGAGACTAGGAAGTGTCACTTACAGCTTGGCAGGCGCTGGCACCGTGACAGTTTTCTTTCTGAATTCTCTCTGTTGTCAAACCAGTGTTCGTGCTTGATGCTTGCAATGTGAGAATGAAACTTGGAAAGTGTAAATAAAAAAAAATTAATGTTATTTTTTCCTGTGAAGTACTAATTTAGAATTTTGTTGTGGGGGGAATTAAATATTGATAGCAAACAATTTCTGGTTTTAAAAGGTGAAAGGCAGTACGTGTGCTTCAGTACTGCTTTGAGCTTAATTACTAAAATAATTCTGAGAGCTTATTTGTGGAGCTGAGCTCTGGCTACAATAGTCCAGGAATGTTGCAGCCTTAAATGGCGTTTAAATTTGAAACCTACCAGCTTTATATCCAATATCATTTGTCCACAGCCCATTGTCATGTAGGTGGAATGCTGTTCTAAAACCTTAAGTATATTCCTTACTATAAAAATACTTGCAGTTGAATCAAGACATATTTTCATGAGAAGGTCATGTAAGTGGAAAATACATGGTGGTCTTCCCACAATGAGTTGTCCATGATATCAGTTACATTAGTTTGTAGGCTAAAAATAATTCTCTACGTTAATCTCTCATATCATAGATGTACATATGTGATGAGAACAGAAGGGCCAATGAGTATGACTTCAAGAAAGCACTTGATCTACTGGAATATATTGATGAGGTAGGAAAAATTTCTGAAGGATTTCTAATCCAGAGACTTTTTTTAATTTATTATTTAAGCTAGGATGGTGCATCTGTAGTTAGTTAACATAATAACTGAGTGTATGGTAATGAAAAATAACCCCTCGTGTGTTTTTCCAGTTTGTTTTTAAGTCACTGGAGACTTCGTGCCAAATGTGGTTTAGATCATTTAAAAAAAATGACACTCCTCATCCTCACTTCCCATTTATAGTCTATAGTTTATTTTTTGGAGCCTTGCTTCCCTGCAGGCTTTCTCCAAACAGGACAAAGATCATCTGTTTTCAGTAGTTTAGTTCTTACGTCTTCTTTATTGGCAGTTTCTGTGAGTCTCATGAGATAATGTGGGGTAGTCACCAGCTTTTTAACATGTAACTAGCATTGAACCACAGATTTGCTTCTGCTTTCTCACTGTATCTCACTGTATGATCTAGTATCTTGTCAGGAGTAATTTTCCACTAAGATGAATAAATCAGCTTCTTTGAAGACATTTACTAATATATTCATAAAACATACTTCCTAATGTGGATGCTAATGCATGCTAGTTAGCTTGGCCATGCTGGAAATAGAGCCTTGACTTCAGCCCCTCTTTAACACATTTGATAATAAAACTTGTCTAGAATACACTGTTTTACAAATCAGTATTGGTTCATGTGTTTTAATATAGGCCCTTTTTCAAATTGAGGGAGGTAGTCTTCAGCAGTTGTGTGCTGATATAGAAAGTCTGAACCGTGTTTTCAATGGAAATGAACAGTCTTTTGTGTTTCAACAGTCTGTTCTGGTCATCTGTTAAAATAGCAGGTGTTTAAAAACAATGTTCAGTAATTGCAGAATCTAATTCATTGGAATAATCTGTGTGGCAGAGTGATTATTTCTTAAAAAAAAAACAAAACACAACAACAACTTACCTGTCTTTTCTCCTTATATGAATTGAAGGAAGAGGAAGTGGATGTAAATGATCTTAAACTTAAAATTCTTTGTAAGGCTCTCCGGAGAGATGGGTAAGTCCAATATGAATATAAATTACTGGGAGTATTTGCGACACAGCTTTTCCAGAATTACACTTTAGTGTACTATTCTCTAGCTCACTGAAAAGATTGCATTTCATAGTGTAAGTTTAGTAACTATAAAGTATCTGATCTGAGTGTGTCTTTTTATTTGTAAACTGAAACCCCAGGAAAAAAGAAACAAAACAACCCATCTGTAGTACTTTGTTTGCTGAGCTCACTGGCAAGCCACTGTGCATTCTCAGCACCTGAGACAGAAATGCACCCACGCAGCTTTCACTCTTGAATCCTGTGCGAGGCTAAAAGAAACGACCGATGCTGAAACTTTTTTTCCATTGAAGCATCTCAAATATAAGCTCAAATACTCTCAAATACTGCTTAAAAGAGCCACTCTTACGATGTTCAACACCAAATACAGGCTAAATCCAGCTGCTCAGAGGAATCTTCTCATCAAGGAGTGCTACTGTTCTCTTCTGGGTTAAATAACTCGAACGGCATTTCCTCCCTTTCCATTCTGATTTTCAGAAGTTACCAGCTTTTCTAGCTCCCATCTGTGTTCCAGGAGGACCTATGTAAGAAAAGACAGGGAGACAATAAATTCAAAATGCACTGTGCTGTTTGTGATTAAAGTGGAAATAAGCAGCAGTTGGATTCATGCTTGTGCATCAGACAGATTCCAAAGGACAGTGGCCTGCAGAAGATAAATGCCTAGTTGCATGACTAATTTATTGTCACAGATGACACAAATAATACGCAGAAACAGGTTCACACTATTCCAAGTGTTTTCTTCCCTTCCTGTTATTTTTCAAGACAGAAGAATCCAGAACTCCTACTTGGCACCAGTCCAATAATTGGTTTATGTCCTGTCTACCCTGGGCCAAGAACAGTTTTGGATGTAATACTTAAACCGTTCAAATCGTATATAATGCTGACAAGATTGTGCCTGCTCTGATTGCTAACCAGATGCAATTTGAGATCACTTTGCACTGAGTAGTGTTTAGAAAACTTGATATCCCAGTTATGTTTCCAGTCCAGCAAGGCTCACAAAGGCTTACAAAGAGGTTGATCACTATTTCAAAAGAGGTAGCGCTAACTTTCATCTGTGTGCAAAATCTTGACATGTCACAGTACATCCTTTTAAGGGTGACATCTGTTTTTCTAGCTTAACAGCTACAAATGGTGGTAACGTTCTTGGGTAGGATGGAGAGCCTTGCTCAGTGTGCTCCTGATGTGATTCTGGTAGGGTCCTCATTATCCTCTGTGCCTAAGAGTGATTGGTTTCCTAACCCCCTACCCCTTCCCTCCATCCTTCCCTCCCTCACATTCTTCCCAGTAGGATTAAAGATGAAAATCTAGAATTTTGGGAGTTTAATCCAGGGTAAAACCATGGTTTCAGTGAAGTACAGAGGATGTGTCAGTGATAGCTTCTGGGACCCGTGTCCAGATCTGCTGCAAGGAGACGGTCCCGTTGGCCCAAGGAGGGAGGTTCATGGTTGGTTTAGGGAGTGATATGAGAACTGGTTTTGTCTAGCAGTTTGACAGAGGGAACGGGAAATTTTAATAACTGAACAGTTAGAACCACAGCAAAATAAGTTAGGTTGGTGCTGACTTAAAACTGCTACACATAAAGCTCTGCAAAGATGAAAAATTGTCATTTTAAATAGTCTTTCTCTTAGAAAAATCTGTTTGGGATTTTCTTATCACAGATGAGACTTGCATTCGTGAGTCTTCACCTTCATATTGAATTGCAAATGAGACAAACTCTGGTTTGTGTCTGTGTCTGCTGTTACAGGCCGACAGCTGAGATTTTACAATTTTTTTCCTCCTTCCTTTTCTTGGTGTTTGCTTCTTTTTTTTTTTCTTTTTTTTTCTTTTTTTTCTTTTTTTTTGCAAATATGTTAGCAAACTGCTGCTCTTGCTTTATTCTGGCAAAAATAAAACTATAGTTGCATCCCCTCAATCATAAAAGATAATTACTGAGAACAGGTAATTCTTTTCTTGATAGATAATATTTTTTATTTTATCAAAGAAATTATCTTTTTGTGGTTTAGAAGACGGAAAGCATTTCTATTGTCCTCCTAACTAGGCTGTGTTATAGTAGTGCAATTTTATTGCAGTTTTACTCTTGGAATAAAGAATAATTAACACAAGATAGAAAAAACCTCTTGCTTTGAGCTACAGACAAGCATGTAACACTTGCATGTGAATGTGTATTAATCACCTTTGATAATTTATCAAATTTTCTGCATATTTTTTCTTCTTAGTTTTCATTTGATTTCATCTGTGTGATTCTTTCCACAAATTATTCTTTGACTTGCAGATGGTCCAGTTCAGATGGTAAAGATGATCCAATTGAAGCATCCAAAGATAGTATATTTGTGAAAATATTACAAAAACTCTTGAAAGAAGGTAAAGTCTACTTATATATAATTGAACTTCTTGAAATTGTTTCCTTGTTTTAAAAGCTGCTTAAGATGAACACTAATATATGAGAAGTGATGTTAATAAATCCTCAGAGTAATAAAAACTTCCATATGCATTCCACTAGATAATTACAATCATATAGAACTAATTCCATCTCTATAAAATGTTGAGGGGGTAAGAGATGAGGAGATTCCTTGGTTATAATCTTACTGCCCTCAAATGGTTTGCTCAGTAGGGCAGCCATTGGATTTGTAGCAGTTTTGTACTGTACAGTGGAGTGTATTTTCTGGAGTTAAATACATAGCTTCTGTAGAAGAAGGGATTAATAACTATTTGTCTCTCACTCAGAAGAGTTTGATCTATTTTAGCTTATGTGGGTTTTTTGGTTTTATTTTCTCTCACCAGAAGCAAAAATAAAAGAACCCCCCTCAGTTAAAGCTGCCCATGGCAAATTACGGCCATGGAAATTACATCTGGGGGTGGTGGGGGGAGAGGAGGGAAGCAATTTAGAGTCAAAGTCTGTTTAAAATATTACTGCATATGAATGCTTTCCAGAACAGAGAATGCTCGATGTCAAAAATACAAAAATTAAGTTCTTCAGAACAGTTCTAGTTTGGTGTGTTCAGTCCTGTCAGTTTCTTTCCTTGTGTCAGATTCTCACCCCCCAGAGTGAAGTGTTGCAACTGGTGATATAAGTATTTATTACAGGACTGATCTTTCTATGCTTTGTTCTTTTTTTTTTTGATCTTTTTTTATTTTGGTGAAGTGTTGTGTTAAAACTTGGATCTTAGGTTTAAGAATTTTTGGTTTAATCAGAAATTCACTGAAAATCTGTTTGGATAGGAATTTTTTTTTTTTTTAAACTCAGTTTCACAGGCTACATAAGTTTTATTGTATTTCTTGACATGTATGATAGAATTAGATCTTCTCAATTCCAAAAGAGTAATTTAACTCTGAGGCAGGCACAGATGTTTACTTAAAAATCATCTTAAATGCTAATGCAAAGTACTCTTATCAGTGATGTAATAAAAGGTTTTGTCTTGTAGGAGTTCAGTTAAGTGAATATTTACCGGAGGTGAAGGACTTGCTGCAAGCAAATGAACTTGGCAACTTGAAATATAATGCTTACTTTGAATTTGTGTTAAAGGCAAACTATGAACTCTACGTTCAGGGGCAAGCATGATTCTGACTGGTTTTTTAAGTATTTTTTTTCTACAGAACTGTTAAATTCATGTGGTTTTTTTTTTTGGGTTTTTTTTTGCTAAAACTTTGTAATAAAATCTATATGAGTAATATACTTGGTCTTAAAATGTATAGGTCTGTTTTCAAGCAAAAGAAAAATTAAGTTTTCATTTTTCTGGGCCTTTCATAAACTTGCTGTTTCATTTTATATCTTCATTGGTATGAGTCCTGCCTGAGACTCAAAGATATGCAGACACACTGGGTGAAACACGGGACCCAGTGCAGAAGGTGGAAACTTTTGCTCTCACTTCACCAGGGCTGTGATTTTTTTTCAGTTCAGAGAACATACTGAAAACATGAATGCTGGGTGATTGTGTAGCTTGCTGCAGGTACACTACTCTCTCTTTGTGCAACACTTTCTGCTGCAGAAACCAGGTAATTGCAATTTTGCAGTAAAGATAACTGGCACAAAAAGGATGCCTGGCTTGTCACTTGTCACTCAGCTTGTCTGTGACAGAAAGGAATAAAGCACAGTTCTCACTCAAAGTCCTCCGGTCCAGTCAATACACCCTTCTCTCAGTTTATATCTGTAAGATTAAACCTTTTCAAAACATTTTAGGATTTTTTCTATTTAAGTTTCATTTGAGTTATACCCAGATTTCTAGAATATATTTAAAAATGAGATTAACAGCTCACCATGCAGTCATTCACAGCAACTGCTTGAACCTAGAAAGCAGTTCTGAAAGTGTGGGAGTCCAGCACCATCTCCCTTACTCAGTGACTTGTTCTCTACTGGTTGATGCTACTAATTTATTTTTTTTTTCTTACTCTACTGCCCCAATTTGTTATCTCTGACATGGGAGTAAAAAACTCCATTTAACTTTTCACCTTTAATTATTCTGATTTCATCTTGTGCCTTTCTTTTGCAAGTAGCTCAACAGCCAGAGGGTGAATGCAGAGCAACATGCATGCCCTTATGTTTTACTTGTCTGGCTTGATGCCTGCTGCAACAACTTGATCCAACAGCTGAGAAGGTCAGAAGTTAAATTGGTTGAAGAGAATCCAGTTTCTAGTTTTAAAAGCACAGCTCCCCTTCTGTGGCTTCCCCTCCTCCCTGTACTAATACAGTAAGGCTCTCAGGCTGAGAGTCTGAACATGTTTGGAAGAATAGATTTATCTAGAGATGTTCTAACTAATATGGGAAAGAAATGCACTAGCAGTCATCTTCTAAGATTGTTCTAAGAAGCGAACTTTGCTCTCCTGCAGCCTCGCATGGCTGAGAGAAGTATGGGTGTAACTCCCAGCTGCAGCTTCAAAGGAGTGGGTCATTTAAAGCTTTAGAAGAGTTCCACTTGCTTAAATGTCACTTTAAAGGTGGTTTCACGTTCTTGGTAAACTTCACATTTTGGGAGAAAGGGAATAATCTAACAAATTATTGCCACCTGCTGCTCAAATACGTTCTGCCTGAAGTTTCACTAGACTCTTACATTTTGCTTGAAGAGGCACCCCTTTAATTGACCATCCGAGGTAAAACACTTTGGGGGTATCTCATCCCTTCCTAGACTGTCGACCACCTATATTCTGTCAGGATTGGCAGGGTAAGCCCTGGAAAACTTTTTCCAGAAGCAGGTGTTTCTGTTCATCCTTAGCTCTCCCTCTGTTTCAGAGCGCCTGGCTTCTCGGCTGCGCTGGCTTTATTCCGGTTGGTGTAAAAGCCTTCTCCAGGTTCTCAGGAAACCATCAGCTCTGTAGGCTTCATAACTAATGTTTTATTGTACTGCTGGGTTGGGAGGCGTTTGGCATTTGTACAACGGCTTTCCATCTGACTATTGCCAAAACAGAAGGCTACAGGCAATGAGTTTACTTAAACAAAACCTCATTAAAATAACTTCCATCTCTAAACTGAAGTTTAATGTTCTTGTACTAGGAATGTTGAGCTGGTTCACTATATCCTGTCGGGAAGCTTGAAGAGGCTGGGATTTGGGGTTATCCCTCTTCTCCATCCTCCGTTTCATTACATAATAAGCTGTTCTGGTGCAGAACTGTCTCAGGTTACTGTACAGGGAGGATGTCTTCATTTACCACCACATATCGAAGGTCATGCCAGAGCTCTAGCTTGTATCCAGGTGCAACAAAACCAGCAATAAACTTGGGACAAAAAGGGGTATGGAAAGCTCCATTTGAATAAGGAAGTATATGTTGTTTCTTAGACAGTTGTTTTCTCGGTAATGGGAAATACACACAGTACAGGATGCCCACACTCCTATCCTCTGTTGTCACCAGCATAGCAGGAAAGCTTATCCGTTGTCGTTTGCGATCAGTCTCAGAAGCTATGTGTTGTGCATAGTGATCTGCTTTGTGCCCAGCTCTGTTCTGGAAACTCACTTCAAATGTTTTCTGACTTGGGACCAAAATCAAATTCATTTAATCAGTCCAGTTCAATACCAGATCTAAGTGCAGAAAATGATGTTTTACACACAACTGTTAAGAATTTAACATTGCCATTGGGCATTTTGCTGAACACTAGATTGAGGTAGAGAGAAAAAAGAAACAGAAGGGATAGAGTGGGTTTACGCTGGCATCAGGTTTCACTGAAGGATTAAGAATGTTTATCTTTCAGCGACATTGGGCTTTCTGTTACTTGATTTCTGATTCAACACAACTGACCATATTTTGGAATCCACGACAGAGCGTTACAGTTCTGTAAATAGATTTGATGGCTGTGCTGCCTTTAGGTGCTTTCGGGCTTCCGATTTTTGTACTGCTGGTTGTCGATGACAGAACTGAAGAACAGAATAAGAAGTTGAAGAACAGTATGAGAGAACAGCATGTTTTATCCCCAGTGTACTTTAATATAATAACTTGACTGGAAATTAAAATCTACAGCAGAATGAAATAGGGAGCAGCCAGAGGTAAAGAGGAACGTTGCCAAACTGGAGGGTGCAGAAATTAGAGAAGAAAAGTTGTCTGCTTCTCTGTTACCCTTCTGCTCTGCCTTGCAGTGGAGGAAATCAGCTGCAGAAATGCCTTCACTCACAGGAGACTCCTCACAGCATGAGCACTTCTGCGTTACTATTTCTTCTTCCTCCTTTTCCTGCCTCCGTAAATTTTGAAAGGATTTACTCTTGGACAGTTGTGCCTTCAGAGAAGATCTTGAAGGTTGATTTGCATCACCTCCTTGACAGGGCTGCAAATCTGCTTGCGTTACTGCCTCTTCTTTCCATTGGTAACTGAAATTTCTCTATAAGATCTTCCAAGTGTCCCACATGGAATCTCTGCTTAAATATCCATTGCTGAAGGAGATGAACTGTTCGTCTTCGCTTGCACAGTACCTTCAGCTCGCCAGAGATGACTTGCCCATGAGGCTGTGCTCCTTTTGGAAAGGGTGAGCTGCAGCAATAGCTGGAGGATGATGCCGTGTTGCCTGGCCGAGCTCAGCAGCCAGCAATGGGCACCTGGTAACGGCACCAGCATTCGCGCTACGTCAGCCTCCTGGGATCAGACGGTCCCTGGGATCAGCGCTTCACCCCTTTTCTCTCCCGGCGTTTGTCTGACACACGTTAGCCTCTGCGTTTATTTTCCACTTTTAAGACACAGCAAAGAACGAACGCCCGGCTTGGCCCGGCCTGCCAAGCTGTGGCTCTCACAGGGGCTGCTGCCTGTTGCCCCGTACAGTGGCATCATGTGCAAACCAGGGGTCTGCCCGGTCGGTTCGGCATCTCACAGCCCTGCTCCTC